ATAGTTAGAAAGCATATACGTGCCACAGAATAGTAAAAAATTGACCATATACTAGACAATGAAGGAAATGCCATTAAATTCCCCAAACCTAGAAACTGTGTGGGTCAAATGCTTTGTCCCAGTGACATTTGCTAATCTCAGTAATAATAAAAATACAAAAATAACTCACTGCCATCAAGTCTATTCCAACTCATAGTGACCCACCCCTGGGTTTTCCAGGTGGTAAATCTTCATGGAATGGCTGGTGGATTTGAACCACCAACCTTCTGGTTAGTGGACAAATGGCTTAGGCACTGCACCACCAGAGTTCCATCAGTAATCAAGGGGCTTGGATTTCTATAGCCATGGAGGGATGGGAGAGACAAGGCCTTAATCCCACATGAAGCAGAGATTTGAAACTGAGATCCTTTTAGGGTCTCTTAATGAAAGACTTTATTAGGGAAAAAAAAAGTCATCTATCAGCAAAGCGTGACCACAGATAAACTTGTCTGTTTTTGCTGTGCTCTGATTGAGGGAAGAAAGTCTTCCCTGAAAATTCTTAGCCTTAGGCCTGTTTTTATGTGGACCTGGGGTACACATTTATACTATCTGCATGGTCTGGGAATTTATGAGCCAAGAGATTAACTTAAAATATGCCCCTGGGCTGCTAACATTACTGGGGCACTTGGCAAGAGCAAATATATTTCTCTAAAAGGATAGTTTTTCTACCCAGGTTTCACACAGATAAAGCCCCAATAAACATGAGCTCACAATTGAAGAAACAGACAAAGAGTTAACCCACCATTGAGCCAGTGGACCCAGTAAATAGCATTACCCACTCACTGCCATCAAGTAGATTCAGACTCATAGCGGCCCTTCAGGACAGAGGAGAACTGCCCCCATAGGGTTTCCAAGGCTGTAAATCTTTACAGAAGCAAGCTGCCTCATCTTTCCTTCTGGAAAAGCTGGTGGGTTCAAACTGCCAGCCTTTTGGTTAGCAGCTGAATGCTTTAACCACTATATCACAGCTGTTGTTGTTGTTGTTATGTGCCGTCGAGTCGGCCCTGACTCATAGCGACCCCTCCTTGGGTTTCCGAGGCAGTATCACTACGGAAGTAGGATTGCCCAACCTTCCTTCCGAGGAGTGGCTGGTGGGTTTGAACCGCCAGCCATCTGAGGTCCTTAAATACAAATACTGTAATTACATAAATCAGACTACAAAATAAAAATGTTTAACATGAGTAAAAAAAGTAAAAGAAGGAATAAAAACTTGAGAAAGGAACAGCATGATGTCAAAGGAACAGAAACCAAACCAGTTGCCATCCAGTTGATGCCAACTCATGGTGCCCCATGTGTGCCAGGATAGACCTGTGCTCCATAGGGTTTTCAATGGCTGAGTGTTTGTAAGTAAATAGATCACCAGGCCTTTCTTCAAAGATGCCTCGGAGTAGAGTCGAACCACTAACCTTTTGGTGAGCAGCTAAGCACTTCAACAGTATGTCATTTTCATTGATCCTAAGACACATTTTTTCATATTTTAACATCTTTGAAGTTAGGAAATATAACGAATGTGATAAGGATACCATGGATAAACCTTGAACACATTATGCTGGGTGAAATAAGTCAGTTGCAAAGGACAAATACAGTATGGTCTCACTTATATGAAATAAGCAAACACACAGAAAACAAAGAGTATTAATTGTTACCAGAGGCAGGAGGAAAGGGGAGAAGGGGAGGTTTTGTTTGGGAGACAATAAGTTTATGTTAATAGTAATGGAGTATTTTGGAAATGATAGTAATAATGGTAGCATAACATGAAAAATGTAATCAGTGTCCCCAAATTGTAAATGAAGAAGTTTATTGTGTTGGCAAATGTTGTGGTCAGTGTATTTTCACCAATATAAAAAAGAAAGAAAGAAAGCACTGTTCATAGTTTAAGAAGCATTGTGCAAAAAACCAAACCAAACCCACTGCCATTGAGTTGATTCTCACTCATAGCAACCCCCATTGAGTTTCCAAGGCTGTAAATCTTTACAGAAGTAGATGGTCTTCTCTTTCTCCCACAGAGCAGCTGGTGGGTTTGAACCACCAACCTTCTGGTTAGCAGCAAAATGCCTTTACCCCAATGCCACCAGAGCCCCTTAAAATAGTATGTAAGTTTCAATTCAGTGAAATAATAGTATTTGAAAAAGAATTAGACATCGTGTATTTTGAGGTGGGGAAAAATCATGCCTGAGGCAGAAATCATGGAAACAATAGGTAGCTTTTGCTACATTAAAATCTATTTTATGTGAAAAAAAAAATCACAAAAAAACATTAAAAGATAAACTGGGAAAAGTATTTCCAGAATATCTAACAAATAGGGGATTAATGTTCTCATATTATGAAATAGGGATATCATATCAGTAATATGGGATAAGAATATGAACAGGAAATACATGAGTGAAGATGCAGAAATTATTAATAAATGTAAGAAAATTTCATTTACTGGTAATCAAAGAAATGTAAATTGAAATAATGAAAAATTTTATAACAAAATCTGCAAAGATACAAAAATGTATTAACTGTGCAAAGAACCTGGCACTCTTGAACACTGCTGTGAAAGCAGAACTTGGTAGAGACTTTCTGGAGGAAAATTTGGCAAAAATATCAAAAGTCCTAACATATACATGGCATCTGACTGAGGGATTTTACTTCTGGATATATTTTTTGAAAAAGCCATAACCATGATTTTATACAAATATTTATCCCTTAAGATATTCTTTTCGGTGTTGCTTATAATAGTGAAAATGAGAACTTAAATGTACTACAGGAAATCAAATAATTACAAAGACATATATGGTCACTATATAGTAAATGGTAGCATAGTGCCTAAGGCACTTGACTGCTAACCAGAAGGCTGGTGGTTCAAACCCACCAGCCACTCCTCGGAAGGAAGGTCGGGCAATCTACTTCCATAGTGATACTGCCTCGGAAACCTAAGGAGGGGTCGCTATGAGTCGGGGCCAACTCGACGGCACATAACAACAACAACAACAGCATATAGTAAATATTTAATGTTGAATGAAATATATTTAATGACACAAAACATATTTAATGACATACACAATGTTTATAGTATATTTCTATGTAAGAATATCAAGTCAGAGACCATAAAACCTAAAAAAACCAAACTCACTGCTGTCGAGTCCACTTGGACTCAGCAACCCCTCCTTGTGTTTCCAAGTGGTATCTCTACAGAAGTAGATTGCCCAACCTTCCTTCTGAGGAGTGGCTGGTGGATTTGAACCGCCAGCCTTCTGGTTAGCAGTCAAATGCCATAGGTATCAATTATCTAAAAATATATAGAAAAAAAGGCTGGACGCCAACCCCTCAAAATGTCAGCAGTCATCCTCTCCAGGTAATGGGACTACAAGTAAATTAACTTCTGTGTGCTCTTTCGTATTCCCCAAAATCAATAGGTAAACTTTTGTTTATAGGTTAAAATGTTATTTTAAAAAAGGAGGATAAAGAAATGATGAACAATATCAACATACCACACAGACCTATAACATAAAGACTAAAAATTGACAGCTCTTGTTGGCAACATGTGACCTTGCCAGAGTGTGGTGGGCTGTAGGCAGATAGTAAGTTAGAAGAGTCATTGGTAAGGGACTGGTAACTCTTCCAGAGGCATCTTTGAAGAAATTTGACTGAAAAGGAAAGGAAGGAGATAAAATGGTAGCTAGAGAGGTATTTCAAGGAGCTCTGGTGGTGTAGTGGTTAAGACATTTGGCTGCTAACTAAAAGGTCAGTGGTTTGAACCCACCAGCTGCTCCACAGAAAAAAGAGGCAGTCTGTGTCCATAAAGATTTACAGCTTTGGAAACCCTGTGGGTCACTATGAGTCAGAATTGACACAGTGGCAGTGAGTTCGGTTTTTGGTTGGAGAGAGGCATTTCTGCTACCCATCTGTCAGTCTGCTATTCTGTGGTGGCATACGTGCCTGTGATGCTGGAAGCTTCAAACACCAGCTGGGTCACCCATGGTGGACAGATTGCCACCCAGTGGCCACAGGCACAGCAATGATCGTGAAGATGGTGCAGGACCATGCAGTGCTCCATTCTGTTGTACACGGGGTTGCCATGAGTCTAACACAACAGACAAGTATTTGGGACATGGTAGAGTTGTTGTGTTTGTTTCTTTCAGGATGGAAAAGTCTCGACCACGTTTATAGGCTAAGAAGAAGGAAAAGTAGCAGAAGAGGTGGAAGCTAGAGAAAAGAGAACTGAAAACAGACGGAGAAGAGCCTGGAGCTAGGGAAGAGGAAGGGGTTTTGAGTGATCCTGGGGACCCATTTGGGGCAGGGGCCGTTAGTTTGTTGTCTTAATCTACATGGAGGTAGGATTTCTCCCAGAAGCACTCAGCTCTAGAGCAGCAGACTGAGTAAGTGGTTTGATCTAAAGTGGAGTGTCTGCTTGGTGGGTGGTGCATGGGAATTGGGGGTGTCAGTAAGAACATGGTTCAGGTGTAAGCATGAGGATCCAAGACCAAGGGGAGTAGGGTGGTGAAGTCCATAGAAGCCATCAGACAGGGGAAAAATGGTTCTTGTGTCAGGAAGTATCATAAGAGCAAAGGTAGGAGGGCAATGAGGTTGAAAGAGCTGGTTTGATATGGTAAAAAGTTGGGCTCTTGTTTAGGGGTCTGGATGTTGAGTGGTGTAGGAGGGTGATGGGGTGTCCATGCATTTTATAGTCATCTGGTTATGTCTTAGGTCCTCAACTAAATGGTAAGCGGGTGGAGGGCAGCACCTTTAACTCTTACAGTGGCTTACTCATGCTAGTTGGTGTTCAGTATTTCAAACAGACGGATTGGAAAGCAGATGCTTTCTGATGGGAAGAGCCATATCTATAGCAAAGGCTCAGAAAGTCTCAGAAGTCATTTCTCCTTCTCTGAACCCTCACCAGGGGCTCCCATCCCCTACCCTGTTTACACATCCCCAGTTCCCATCTGACCCCCTTTTCCATTCTACGCAGGACTCACCGAGAAGGACCTTCCAGCTAAGTTGGAGGATTTGACAACCTCTGTCACAATGACATCCAGGCACGTGTGCTCGGTAGCAGGAGCAGCAGTGTGAGGGAAGTGAGTGGGCCCTGAAATTGAGCAGAGGAGATGGGGGGGCAGGCTTCAGTGGGCCTCCAGGGGAGCAGGGGAATTGGAGGGCCTACCTCCTAAGAAGATATCCATGAAAACATTTTGATACACTCCCACCATCTCAGCCCTCTCCTCTACCCTGCTCAGCCCTTCTTCCTGATTCCACCTTGGTTCTAGTCAGTGTGGATGATCTGGTCCCTTCCAATCAACTCTCTTTCCTGGCAAACCCACAAAATTTCTGTATCTTCAGTCATAGTAGCTACCACCCACCCAAATCCCCACCCCCCACTTGTTGAATTTCCCCACAGCTATTGGACATGCTAAGAATGTAAAAAACACCAAGCTCAGGATTTTGTTTAAAACAGAGGCCAAGGTGGTGTTGGATGGTCAGAGTACTAATAGATTAAGAGTGTTTGCTTGACTTTCTTAATAGTGTACAGTGTCTCAAAAATTATTATTGTGTGAAGGCTCCCAAGCCTACTAAAGAGGGTTCTTCCTTGTCTCTGCCTCTGTGGAGAGTTCTAGTATCACTATACCAATTCTGATAGACTTTTGGGATGTAAAATTTGGAGGAGGCACATGAGCTGGAGTGGAGGTAGCCAGGGCGAGAGTCTTGTGACAGAAGTAGAAGGGATATAATTTAAAAAATAAAATCTAACACTTGCAATTTATTATATGCACATATAAAACCCAGCAAACCAAACTCACTGCCATCGAGTCAGATCTAACTCATAGTGACCCCTCCTTGGGTTTCTGAGGCAGTATCTCTGTGGAAGTAGATTGCCCAGTCTTCCATCTGAGGAGTGGCTGGTGGGTTTGAACCACCAGCCTTCTGGTTAGCAGTCAAATGCCGTAGGCACTATGCTACCAGAGCTCCTATGCACATATATAGCACTTTTTATTATTTCCATTGTAGAAATGAAGAAACAGAGAGGTAAAGTAACTCACCCAATGTCACACAGATAGGAAGTGGCAAAGCTAAGATTTGAACCCTGCCTTTCTGCCTAGTGGCGCAGTGCCTAAGGCATTTGACTGCTAACTAGAAGGTTGGCGGTTCAAACCCATCAGCCACTCCACAGAAGGAAGATAGGGCAATCTACTTCCATAAAGATTTACCACCTCAGAAACCCAGTGGAGGTCCATAGGAGTCGGAACTGACTCCAGGTTTGTTGTTTTTTTTAAATTTATCTGTTCCAGAATCTGCTCTCTTGACCTCTGGTTCTATAACCACCCCTGGGTTAAGAGTTATTACCAAAATTGGAAGTCTCCTTTGTGGTGTTCAAGATCTACAAGTGAAAATTGACTTGGCTGTGAGAGTTTCATGTCATTCACAAATTTATCTCACCTGTGCAGGAATTAATAAAATTAATAGCTATTTCTTGAGTTTCACCTTTGGGCCAGATTCAAGGTAATTTAGGAGCTATGATAGCCACAGAAGCACAGACATACATTATGGACAGACAGGTGTTGCCATGAGGCTGATAGTAAAGCCTTCAAAGGATTTTAGAAACAGAAGTAATTACTTCCGGTTGGATGAGAGAAGATGGATGAGAGATGCCTCCTCCTAGGCATTCCAACATAGCTCATGTGTATTTTCATTCTGTATTTCTCCTGGAATATTTCAAATGTATCCATTTTTTAAAAACGTTTTTTTTTTTTAATGTAAAGTAGCACTTCATTTATTCAGCAAATGTTTTATTGAGTAGCTCAATATTTATTGAGGCGATAGAGTGGTGAGCAAAATAGGTCCTTCCTGGGTGGGCTTTCTTCTATAAGCATCTGTGGGTAGCATCCCTTAAGTCTTGAGATTTGGACTCACCATGGAGGCAGTGTGGTGCAGTGGTGGAAAGCATGGACTCTTGTGTGAGACACCTTGGGTTTGAATCCCACCTCTGACTCTTTCTCACATTGTGACCTTGGGTAAATTATTCTCTCTGCTGCAGTTTCCAGTAAAAAGTTGCTAATACTCATAGTGCCTGTCTGGTAGGGTTAATATACTTAAAAGAGTGAATATGGTTAACATGCTTAGGGTAGCACCTGACCTCTGGTAAGTGTTTGCAGTGATTAGTAATTCAAGCTATCATCCTTTTCATTATTCTAGGAGACCAGGAGTCACAAATTCAGATTCCCCCAGGGTCCAGCCAGATTTAGGTAATTAGGACTATCATACCTTCTGGGAACTGGACAGTACCTGCCCTGCGGAATGGCATTCAAAATAAAAATATACCAAACAAAATGCAACAAACTCTACGGGTCCAATTCAGAGGCACAAGGCTACGTGCAACCCCTTCGTGTGGCCCAGTATCTACCTTTCACCCACAGGGGCCCAGTCTCTACTTGTAAGGGAGCCACTCCATCCCCTCCTGGTTGTATGTTCCTAGACGGTGAGCAACCTGAAGGGAGAGACCTGGTTTCACCCTGGGCAGCCCTGGTGCCAGCTCCGAGCCCAGCTCGAGCAGGAGCTTAGACTTATTCACTGATCACGGTGACTGCAGAAGGCCTCCTTCCCCTGGTTCACCACTCAAGGCCCCTCTTTCTCTTCCTCTCACCTTCCCTCCTTTCCCCCTTTCTCTCTCTTTCCTGTTGTCCCAGCTCCTCACCTTCGGTGTCATTGGCTGGAATGGCCTTCAAGACCAGCCCAGTGGCCCGTAGGGAAACAGTGACCTCTTGTAACCGGTGGCTGAGCAGGGCCTGGGGAGAGGGGTGCAGGAACAGATGAGGGTCCTCAGGATAAACCCCCTCATACATTCTCACATTAACAGTGTGCACCTCTCTCTCCTGCTTCCTGCCTCTGCCCTGTGAGTCTTGTCTGTGTCACTGACGTCCAATAAGGGGTCAGCTGATGCAGGCTTAGAGTACTCCTAGGCCCAGCCAGCATTTTCAGCCTTCTGAAACAAAGGACTAAATCTCCAGTGAAATAAATTCTGGCATCTGACCAGCTAGTGAGGAAGATATTTTTGAGCAAGGGGACATCTCTCTTGCCCCTTAACTCAGATCAGCTTCTTGTCTACACATAAGGGGAATCTTAACCCACCCATCCCTGTAAACTCTTTGAAGACTGGGGCACTCTGAGGGCCGTGCCCAGGAAAGGAGCATAAAGTTCCTTTGGCTCTGCCTGCTTCCCCCGCTCCCATCCAGCCATCCCTCCCAGACCGCATCCATATACCCTGACCTGGACACTGACCTTTTGGTAGCAAATGGAGAGGTCAGCCCCTTGGCCCTCAGCCACGCCTCTCCTCTTGGGTGAAAAACCATCTGGAGGAAGATGAAAAAAAAAAAAAAAAATCATTGCCATAGAGTTGATCCCAACCCCTGGTGAGCCCATGTGAGTGAGACTCTGCACTCCATACATTTCTCAGTGGTCCTTCTTCTGTGGCACTGCCATAGATTCGAACCACCAACCTTTTGCTTGGTAGCCAAGCCCATTAACCATTAATGCCACCCCGAGAAGAGGCTTAAGGTGTGAGATGCAACCCCTTCCATCCTGGCTTCCCCACCTCCCCGAGGGATGCAACTGAGCTGCTGGATTTTCACATTTTGTCTCCCAGTGGAAGGAAGGGCAGCGCTGAGGTGCCTGGCTGCCTTTCAGTCTGGGAGAGCCTGGGAAGAGCGCAAGGCAGCTCAGGTCTTCCGCAGGGTGTTGGATAGAGCAGGGGTGGCTGCTGGTGGGTGAAAGGGAGAAGGATGTCTGGAAAAGGGTCTTGGGCAAAGCTGCATCAGGGCGAGTTTTGGAAGAGGGAATCCAAGTGCTCACCTTTGGGGAATTTGGAGTCTTGGATCTTCACCTTCAGTTCAGTGAGGAAAACATCCTCAGCAGGGTCCTGGCTCAGGTCACTGAAGAAGATCTGGAGAGAGGAAGGAGCGGCTTTGGAGAGGCGGAGTCCTTAGGCCGGAGACAGTGTTGAGAGCAGGGGTAGTGTCCTCCCTCCCCATCCTGCCAACACTAGATTCTGAGCTGCGTAAAATGATTACCTAGATCTGAATCTATCCATATCTATCACGATTTGAGATGTTTATAAGTAGTGGAATAAATATTAATAAAAACCCAAACTACAGTAGCCACAACTGTCTAATAGGTGTGTGTATGTGGGGAGCCAGGGGCAAAATTTACATAAGGTGGGGGTAGGGAATAAAATGTCTTATAGACACTGGCAGGGGAGGACAAAAGGGTGAGAGCCGGAGGGGAAAATTTAAACACTCCTGGATGGGCACAGAGAAGCTAGGTGAGGACAGGGCTGTGACATCAACTGCTCTTGGTGAGAGACTGTGGAGTTTTGGCAGGGAGGGGTGGATCCTGAGGGCATAGGGGTAGAGGAGAGGGGGGAGGCAAGGGTGTGGATAGGGGAGGAGAAAGGATGTCAGAACAACATGGGAGGGTGGCTGAAGGATTTTTGAGAACAGGGAGGCAAGGAATAGAAAAGTTGCCCCTGAAAGCTGGGAGCTGGCCTGGTGCTAACAACTTGGCCTTGGTGTTCTGTTGACCATGAACAATTTCACAGAACACCAACAGCAGAGGCTGTGAAGAGGATGGATGAATACAAAAACCAGACCACTCTATGATCCTATCAAAACAGAGACCAAAACATGAACATGTGCCAACTATTGCCCCATCCTCCTAACCTGGCAAACATGAGTGTCTGCTGCTGTTCTATCCCTCACAGCTCTAGCCTTTTAGATAAAAACTCAGTGCCATCGAGTTGTTTCCTACTCATAGTGACCCCTTCTTGGGTTTCCGAGGCTGTATCTCTACCAAAGTAGATTGCCCAGTCTTCCTTCAGAGGAGTAGCTGGTGGGTTTGAACTGCCAGCCTTCTGATTAGCAGTCAAGTGCCTTAGGCACTATGCCACCAGAGCTCCCCATTTTAGATAAGTGTTACTGAAATACCCAATCATGGAATTGCACCCACTTACTGAGAGCATCCAATCCAGAGCAAAGCCCTCCCAAATCAACTATGATCTCAAATCCTGTATTAAGTCCTTTCTCTATATATAAAGGAGCTCTGGTGTTGTAGGGGTTAAGGCATTTGGCAGCTAACCAAAAAAAAAAAAAAAAAACTCGGTGGTTTGAACCCCCTAAGCAGTTCCATGGAAGAAAGATTGGACAGTCTGCTTTCCGTAAACATTTACAGCATTGGAAACCCAATGAGGGTTGCTATGAGTTGGAATTGATGACAGTGAGTTTGGTTTTTGGTCATATATACACATACACACACATATATATAAACAAATATATAATTTTTTAATATATACAAATATACAATTTTATTAAAATATATAATTTTATTTCATTGTTGTTGTTAAGATACATACAGCAAAACATACACCAATTCAACAGTTTCTACATGTACCATTTAGTGACATAACTAATTCTTTGAGTTGTGTAACCATTCTCACTCTCATTTTCTGAGTTGTTCCTCCCCAGTTAACATAAATTCACTGCACCCTAAGGTTCCTAATTAATCTTTGAGTTGGTGTTGTCAATTTGATTCCATATAGATCTTAAAAGAGCACAGTGCTCAAGGCAACATTCTCCACTAGTTAACCTAAAAGTGCCTAAGGTACTTGACTGCTAACCAGAAGGCTGGCGGTTCAAACCCACCAGCCACTTCTCAAAGGAAGATGGGGCAATCTACTTCCATAGTAATACTGCCTTGGAAACCCAAGGAGGGGTCGCTAGGAGTCGGGTCCAACTTGATGGCACACAGCAACATTCTTTGGTTTTAGAAAGACTTCAGGACATGTTTTTTTTGTTTTGTTTTGTTTATGTGTGTGTGTG